AGAAAAGGCTCCATACTATACTTATTAGAACCAGCTCAAAACTAACCACATTTTTTCTAGCCCGGAGGTGACCCTTTTTGAACTATCTATGAACTGTTGTTATATGAACTGTATCAGAACCATCTAAGCCAGAGTCAGCTCAGAACAAGTTCAAAAGTTCTGCAGAGGGCGACAATTGTCACTTCGTAGGACATCGCCATGTTAAAAAAGACAGTTGCAAGCATTGAGTTGGGATAGATGAAGAACCAGTACCGTCCCTTTTCAGGCTAGCTCAGCGCAAGTTCTGAACCAGTTTGATTTGCTGCAGGGGTGCTGTGGTGTTGATGGATATTCAACATTTGTGTAGCTGAGTGCGCAAAGATGCTTGCCACAACCCTGCAGTGAAAAGCTAAACCAGTATGCACAAATTCCAATTCATGAACTATTATTTAAGGATAAAAGTCATACCAGTTTGTTATGAACCACAATTATACCAGTTCCGCTCAGAAAAAAGTAAACTAGTTGGTAGAAATTCTAGTTCGAAAACTGGTATTAAATGGAAGAGTCATACCAGTTCGTCATGGACTATAATTATACCAGTTCTCTGCAGTGAAATGCCAAACAAGCCAGTATAAATACTAGTTCATTAACCAGTATGTANTCATGAACTATTATTTAAGGATAAAAGTCATACCAGTTTGTTATGAACCACAATTATACCAGTTCCGCTCAGAAAAAAGTAAACTAGTTGGTAGAAATTCTAGTTCGAAAACTGGTATTAAATGGAAGAGTCATACCAGTTCGTCATGGACTATAATTATACCAGTTCTCTGCAGTGAAATGCCAAACAAGCCAGTATAAATACTAGTTCATTAACCAGTATGTAATAAAGCGACGGCCTACCATTTCGGCGATTTCGAACAACTTATGCGATCAGCGACATCTGTCTATGAATAGGCATAACCAAAACTAAAACGTGGTTAATTGCTTTCATCACAAATATCGGCTGTGGCGTCGAGTGAAGACTACCGATTCTGGTTCTGAGATCTCAGGTTCGAGTATGCGTGGAGGTTGTTAAAGTAAAGTAAGTAAATTAATTTAAATAATTATTTCAATTTAAATATAAAATAAAAATTGTACATAAATTTAATTTGATTTGGAAAAAACCTAAATACTCAAATACCATAAAAAAATTAAAATAAATAATTTTTTGTTCTTTTTAAAACAATAAATTTAAAAATTACACAAGAGATATAAATAAAAAATTAAACAAAAATAAAAAAAGATTCGCTCACTGAGATTCGAACTCGGATCTCTTGATTTGGCGTGCCAAAGCTTTACTCTGTCGACCATTGCCACTGTTGCAGCGCCGCGAACAAAATGACATACTTATGCTTTTCACGGGGGATGAATATGCAGTCAACTGGTATGATGCTACTAGTATTTCTACTGGTAGCGTGCTGATGCAGGAGCGGACAATTGACATCTCCTATGACACCGCCATGTTAAAATACCAGTCGCTAACATTGAAAAAGTATACAACGTGAACTAGTTGGGCTGAAACGGAAGCATTCTGGTTCACAACTGGTAGCTTTCCCTGCAGGGAAGTTGTTGATATCCGAAGATGGTCGGGTTCGAATTCCAGGCAACATGCAAATTAAATTTATTTTTTTTTTAGTTTTTGTCTTGATTACTCACTTCGCGGATGCTTTTTCAGTATGAACGCGGTCATTTTAATAAGCGCATAATTGAATTAAATATTTACCAATATACAGTACTGTCGTTGACGTTTATAGTAAGATCAATTACGTTTCTATTTGATTTTAATATTTTTATCCCTCAGTGTATGAGCAAATTAAAAAGTCGATACAATTTACGGTCGAAAATTACAGTTGTTGTATAGATTATAGATTATTTCCCAACACTGTAGGGAACTAAGCAAAATGGCCTAGTGTATTTCGCAAATATTCAAATACATAATCCACCAACCGATAAGTTTATATATTCATTAAAAGATTATTTGTCATCAGTCTGAAATAAAAAAATTATAAATCGGAAGGGTAAAATAGTATTGTGTTATTAATTCAAAAATAAAAAGTTTCATTTCACTGACGAAGGGAGAGAATCTATCCCCCCATGCCCCCCCTGGCTATGCCACTGTATTAATTAACAATGTTTTGGTTTTATTATTATTTTTTTTATGAATTTTGCTGATTAAATTTACATTGCGAATATATCAACAAACATTTGTGGGTACTTTTGCACCAGAAGTTGCCTATGGGTTAATGACAAAAAAATCCTACACATGCACAATATTTCATGTATTAATTTTCAAATATGCATATTGTCAATGGCTGGTTTACTGTATACTGTGTACCAAACTAGGAAATATTGTGAAGTTTTTAAATATTAAATAAAAAATTGTGTAAGAATTGTAATAAAAAAACGGATAGTGAATCTTTGCACACCATCAATCAGACTAGGAAATAATGTGAGGAATTTCTTCCATTTTTGTAAATCTTTGCACGGGTTTTGTGAAATTAAATGCTTTTGCATACTGTCCGGTTGTATCTGTTTTTCGCAAGCCGGCTTATTGGTGTCAATTTTGTTACAAGCTCATGATTGATCAGGACCTGAACCAACTATTTGAGAGCCTTAATAGAATAGAAGTTGTAAAAGACAGTGCAACAATAGAGATAATCAAGAAGACTGGTGGACGGACAATATAGTGACAGACAAAAAACGAGAAATGGCGCTAGAACCAGACCAATTAAGGGCACTAGTAGAAAGTGCAGTCTGTAGTGCGCTTGCCGTACAAAGTGAAAATTTCGGGAAAAAACTTGCAAATATTAATCAATGTCTAAATGACGTCTAAATTGACGCACTGACGATAGAAACTCATAGGGAAACAGAAATTGTTCCAGGGAACCAATGTGAAGAGCCTCTCGATATCGTAAAATCCTTACCAGACTTCGATGGTAAACAAGAAATTTATGTATCGTGGCGGCAGGCGGCACACACCGCCTACAAAGTCTTTGAAAATTATGAGGGCAGCAGCAAACATTATCAGGTTGTTGCCATCATTAGAAATAAAGTGAAAGGCCCGGCCGCCATGGTTCTGGCTTCATTTAACTCCGTATTAAATTTCAAGGCCATAATTAGCCGCCTTGACTTTAGCTATTCTGACAAACGACCGATTTACCTGATAGAGCAGATGTCAACTCTCGACCAGGGAAGTTTGTCACTACTTCAATATTATGACGAAGTAGAAAAGAAACTTACTCTTTTAACACATAAGACGATAATGACCTATGACAAGTCCATCGCTGCTTCACTGAACGAGAAGTACAGAATGGGCGCTTTGCGTGTGTTCATTTCAGGGACCAAAAAACCACTTAGTGACGATTATTCTCAGCGCGATCTAGGCATAGGTGTTCGCAAGCACCCATGCCAGGAGCTTGGAAGCCAAAGCACAAAGGCTAGAAACAAAACAACAATCTAGGGAAAAAGGTATAGGTGAAACATATCAAACAAACGATAAGTATCATGCGAAAAACCACCATTTTAACAGAACGCGGGACTTAAGCAACAAGACTCCCCAGAAACTGGAACCAGTAGAACCAAAGGCTGTTGATCCCTCGCAGCGCTTCAGGCAACCTACAGCACAACAGCAAAACGTTGAAATAAAACAAACGACAATAACGCAAAATTTGCTTTATTTCACTTTTAAATGGGAAATAATACCAAAATATGAGTTTTGCTTTATTTCCAACAAAGGTTCGCCTAATTTCCCTTTGCTTATTTATACTATTTGTAACAAAAACAGTTTACTGACAGAAGGAAAAAGAACCTTGTTTATTCCAGAGGAAAGTGATGTTCACAAAATATTTTTACTTATGAAAAGTCTAACAAAATAAAGGAAAATAGTCATCTTTAATAACGCTTTTTTATGAATTTTATCTGCATGGTTTTTAATACAGGGTGTCCCAGAAGTAACCAGCAGGTGGGCAGGTGGGGTGGTAAGCTCCCTGATAAGCAAACATTTTTCAAGTAAAAGTGTCACCGTTTTCGATATATTTAAATTTTTTTGAATTAAAGAAAAATCGTGTCTTTTCATGTATTTTCTTTAACTGCATCTACAAACAAGGCTATACTTAGTAAATTTTTTATCTAAAATACTTCCAGATAGTTGCTTCTCCATATTCAAATGCAATGTAGTTAAAATATATTAAGGAACCATCATAATTTATTTATTTTTTATATTTTCTTCCCCAACTTTGACTATCTCTGGTGAAAAACAAATGTACCGAGCTATAACTTTACATTACATAAAAAAATTGCTCATTTACAGGTCTATTCTGCACGTTACCGAAGATTTTGTAACCGGAAAATTTTATTACCAAAAAATGTTACCAGTTCTTGTCACCGCGATTCTAGGAACGTTGGTAATGCAGTTAAAATCTGTTGAAAATACTTATGTATTTAAATATGTATTTGTATTTGTATATGTGCATATAAAATGCACTCATAAGCTTATTATACTTTATTTACCAGCTTCGCATAATTGTAATACTTATAAGCATATTCTTGATACATTAAACAGTCAGTCCACTCATAAACCTCAAACCGTCGTGTTCTTTATTCTCTCTCTACATGGTAGCAGAGCAAGGTTACTGCTGTAGTGTCGGGTGTCGGAATTAAATAAATAAAATAAAAATCAAAAGTGCAAAATCTGCTGTAATAATAAAAATAAAATAACGCTTCAAGTAAGACTTTGAATTAATATACATATACATATATATAAAATTTATAAGTGAAATTATAAGTTAAAATGGAAAAGGGTTTTGAAGTAGAGAAACTCAAAGGCCAGGAAAATTTCCACAACTGGTGTTTCGCAATAAAAAATATATTAGCATTCAAAGGTCTGCATAAGTGTATAACCGATCCTGTCACAGAAACAAACGCTGAGAAATTAACTAATTGCAAAGCCCTGTTAGCTCTAAGCGTAGCGCCATCGCTGTACGTTCACATATCCAGATGTGAAACAGCGCTAGAAATATGGCAGAAACTAAAAAATCTGTATGAGGACAAAGGCTTAACAAGAAAAATTGGGTTATTAAGAGGCCTGATCTCTTGCAGATTAGAAGACTGCGAGAACATGCAATCATACATTGATAGAATTAAAGATAATTCTAATAAATTAAATGAAATTGGTTTTGAGATAAATGAGGATTGGCTGACGGCGATAGTATTGGCTGGTTTAACTGATGCATATAAACCATTTATAATGGGAATTGAAGCATCAGACTCACAAATAAAATCAGAAACAATAATCGCTAAACTGTTGGACTCTGATACCAACACAACCACAAAAAGTGATGCATAACAAGGGCTATATCTATCAATATTTTGTGTGAAGGATGGGTTCACGTGAAATAAAGATATACATGAGTTGTTTGAGAAAAATTTATTCATTTATTGATAAAATATGCTCAAATTGGCGACCTTATACTCTAATACAACTCGGCACCTTTCTAAGAAAAGTACGCTTTTAGAGATCCTTAAACTCAACTTGGGCTATCTCAGCAGCAGCTCCATTTATTTGTTCCGCATAATGCTTCTTCGTTTTGAATTGCATTTTTAATAAATTTTGTAGATAGCTAGAACAAATCGAATTAGGTCTGCGATCTGAGCAGGCCACGTGATTGGCCCGTATCGTCCAATCCATCGGCGAGGATAAGTTTCGTCTAAATGAGCTCTTACTTCACGCCCGTAGTGAGCAGGGCATCCGTCATTTTGCTGCCATAGTCTTCGCCGCAGGTTTAAGGGTAATCTTCTAAAAGAGTCTGGAAGTCGTTCCTGAACGAACTTTAAATAGCTGTGGGAGTTGAGCGTTGGCGGAAGTTCCACAGGTCCCAATATCTGACAATTAAAAATACCGCACCATAAATTTATTTTGTACTGGTCCTGCGAACGATCTTATCTCATTTCGTGAGGATTGTCTATCTGCCAACTGTGAAGGTTATGTAAATTAAAATAACCGTCACGTTTGCATGATGATTCATCGCTCCAAATTATTTTATTAAAAAAGTTGGGGTCTGAAACATGCATTCGCAACATTTCACTGCAGAATCTAACCCTCGACAGGTAATCTCTCTCTTGTAAAGCCAGAACACGTTGGATGTGGTAGGGATGGTACTTTAAAGCCTTGTGAACTGTAGTTTTTGGTATTCCAGTCCTCTTTCATCATTCTCCCTGAAGTCGATGGACCTAGTTCAACTTCCTCTAACACAACTTCAA